GCTTAGAACTTGTGGAACTATTGATTATAATGTCTTTTAATATGGTGGTAAAGATTTTAAAGCAGACACATTCAACTGGTTTTGCTACACTAAAATGTCTTCAGTTTTTGCACTGTTTTTTTGTGATCCAATACAAAATAAATGTCACAGTTTGTTACTTATATGTATAATGTGTTTGTGTCGTACCATCACGTGCAGACTCTTGTTAAGCATTTCTTGTAACACAGGATGTTCAAGATAATTAAGGCAAAAAAGGATGCAAAATATTTCAATGCAGCAATAGTTGTTTTTATGACGTACATGGTCCTTCCTTCCTCTTATATGTATGTATATGTATGTGTTTATTCCTATTTTTTAATGAATATGAGGTTAAGGAGGGTCTTCCTAATGCAGTAAGCTCTTCAAAAGTGGATATTTATGCCAATCTGTTTTAGACTGACCATTTTAAAGATAGGGCTCTGACATTGGTTTGAAAATAGAAGTTTGTATTAGTAAACCTGGAAAATGTTAAATTTAAAAATAAAAATAAATTAGTTTTGTATGAAGTGATAAAAGGGCACTCTTGCTTATAAAAATAGTTTTCCACGAATTAGTGATTATTTCTTTGTGCACTTTGTGACTTTGTAAGGTTTAAAGAAATAGGATAATCATTTTTGTAATTTTGTTTAACCCATTACTGTCCGCAATTTCATTTTTGGAATAATTGGCATTAATAGACTATAAGTGTCCAAATAATAGCATTTTTTTTTTTAAAAATATAAACTATAATTAATACCATTGATTGATGGATTTGTTTTCAATGTCTTATCAACACTCTGCAGGTTATTTAAAGCTAGAAAATATTTTGGGGCGGGGGGGGGATAATAATGTTTTACTGATACAAGTTTTACTAATTAACCCATAACTGGCAAAGAAGAGGTTTATTCATACCTTTTACCGAGGGTATTTGCACATAAATGAATGTAACAAACCCCACTGAAATTTGAACTCTGATTTAACAATTTCGATCAATTATCCGTTACAACACCTTCACATACAACTTACAGCATCTGATATTCCCGAGTGGTCACCCTTCTAGGTACTAACCAGGTTTGATGCTGCTTAACTTTGGTGATATGATCATAAGCCCATGGAATGTTTTTTTATGGAATAATACACTTCTGATTTGTTCACACTTTCATGTCAGATGCTATTTTACTAGATTGCCACTCAGGTACTATCTGTAACAAGGAAACAAAGGTGTATGTTCTAATGGCTAGAATATGTTTCTATTGCTATATTATAAGCATCTACTTCTGACATTGCAGTCCACTATAATAAACAAGGCATTACTCTGTGTGTGTGAATTTTTTATAGATTATGCACATGATTTGTTTATTGATTTTTGCAGGTTTGTTATACAATCTTTTTGTTATTTTTTTGTTATTGTCACGTATGCAAATATCTACTAGTGTTCAGAAAATATAAAGAGAATAAAAAATGTTTAATATATTTAAA